AGGCCCAGAAGCAGCTACACGTCCTCCATGTCCTCAGGGAGAAGAACCTGGACCAGGAGCTGCTGCTGGCCTCCTACTGCTCCTCAGTGGAGCGCGTGCTCTCCTACTGCCTGGTGTTGGTACTCAAGACCCACAAGACCCACTGAGAAGAGGAAGGCTGCACAGAGGATAATTAACACTGACCAAAAAAGTCTGGAGACCTTCGCCAGATCCTCCTGCCTCAGGAAAACCAGGGCCATCACAGGTGAGCCCTCGCACCCTGCTGCACTCTGGTTGGTGCCTCAGGTCCACACGAGCCCCCTCATGACATTAATGCCCATGGTTATTGTACCTTTGATTATATAACGGGTCAGTAGGTTACTCACATGTTTACAGGTGGAACTGTAGTAAAGATAAATAATAGATGCTAAATGGACCTGAAGCTGCTGGAGCAGCTTCAGTGTGCTCTGGCAGTAAGCACATGCCCTGCTCCGAAACACAGCCCTTCATCCTCCCCGCGTGCACGGAGGCTCGAGCATCGTGGGGACGCAGCTCCACGCGAACAGACACGTTTCACCGTATAATCAGTCAGAATAACTTTGGTGACACGTGGGTCCAAGCGGCAAACGCTCCAAAAGTATACCCCACGACACAATTACTGGGGTTGTTCATCATGTCACCCCTCTGTGTGCGTGGGACGGGTTCATATCTAACAGCATCCAAATACACTGCACAGCATTTTATCATCGTTATTATCGCAGCTGCAGCTCCACAGGACGTGATGGCTGAGATCAGATCACATGTTCTCACCTCCCGTGATCACAAACATGTTGAACACTAACTACCCAACACAGCGCAGGCTTCACGTCTACAGCAGGCTAACCTGCAGAGAGTAACCGGGTATGAATGTACCAAACCTGTCAGCAGGACGTTTGGCTGCTTCTTCGTCTTCATAGCTCCGCAGACACGTGTTTGCTGATCGACACCTGGAAGTCAGAGCAGTGCTGTTATTCCTCCACGTCGTTCCAGTCACACCAGTAACGGCCAAAGTTAACTAACAAACCTGGAAAACTGGGAACCAGCTCGATGTAAAACTTTGTTTTGTTGTACGCTATAACCGGACTGACTCCACTGCCGTAAACTGAAGCTTTACGTCAATATTACGTCAGTTGCAGTCAGTTAGCGACAGTTAGACAATTAGTTGTCGGAGTTTAAATTTTACAGCTCGGCACGAAGTGTGTGGTAGCGCTGAAACATGTGTGATTGATTTAAACTGAAGTTTCCTTTGTGCCCGGACACGAGTGCGAATCTCTGAGAAGCCAGGCGTGTTTCGTACGAGGTAAAGCGATGTTATATTAGCTTAACAGAAGCTGCCGTCCGAGTATAAACTGTAAAATGTGTAATTAGCTAAACAACAGCAGCCTGAGAGACGTTTGTTATGAGTTTGACAGTTGACAGAGGTCCTGAGTCTGGTCCCTGTGGCTTAACGAACAGACGCAGTAAGTTAAAGATGTTGTTGTCCCGAGTGCTGCGATATTTACGGGCTGTTTCTCTCTCGTGTCGTCGCCAGCAGCTGTTCAGGTCTCCAGTCCTTCGCTATTATACTGTTCTCTATGGGAAACAGCAGCTTTGAGGATGAACAAGCTTTCTGTGGCAGATAAAGCTGCTGAGCGCAGGGTAAGTAACACAGTACGGGAGCCCGGGGTCAGTGGGGTCACACTGCAAACAGGAAGAATAGAAACTGTTACTTTATTACGCTTCATTTATAATCCACGTCCATGTGACGTTGTTTGGGTGAGGAGGGTCCAGAGTAGAGTTTCAGTGTTGGTTTCTGTTTGGTTTAAATATATTTATTTCACTAAACTTCACAAAACTCTGATGCTTCTTTCATACAGCCCAACCGGCACTGACCCAACATTTAGGATCGTACAATAATCACTCTGCTGTGCTAATACACACCTCAAATACTTAAGACCAGCAAATTGTCAAATGTTCTGGTCACGCTTGATTCCTGTGGAAGCAGTAAGGTTGTGTTTAGTATGTCAGAGGACTGCATGGTGGAAGCTGTGTTTTCCACATAGCTGTACCTGTTCAGGTATCACCTACATCTCACATGTTTATTAAGGAATGTAATCTTTCCCCGACTTAATTCACG